TTTGATACCAGGGATCTTCAGCAACGTCGCCGCCGCCTCAGCGTCCTGGTCTTGCTCCTGTGTCTTCTCCGCCGCCGGCGGGGTATCCACTTTTTCCATCGGCTCATCTTCTGCTGCGGGTGCCGATGTGGCTGTGGAGGGTCCAGCCATGTCCTCCCGGACTGTTACACCTCCTGGCCCATCCCGGGCTTGTTCAGTTCCTTGCCCATCCCGGGCTGTTTCGATCGCCTGCCCATCCCGGGCTTGTCCTTTCCCCTGCCCATCCCGGGCTTGTTCCTCCGATTCCTCAGCCTCCATGGAGGAGGCCGGGGAAGGGCTCCGGCGTCTTGTACTCTCGCGCACTCCCAGGTGGAAGCGTGGTCGCCACCCTCAGGCGGCTCCGAAACCAAATGTTACGAATAGGATGTGGGTGTGGGGTTCCTGCCCTCTTTGAGCCGCGGACCCGCCTCGCCGGGCACCTAGGTCCTTACAGGGCACCTAGGCGGGACCACCCCTCCTACTCCCGGATCCTAATATGGATAAAGGTTACAGTGGGTGAGGAATAGTACGTGCCTTGGGCAGGGCGTCCCCCACACCAAGGGCCATTAGTAGGACGTCTCCCACATCAGGCTAGTGCGCGTAACAGACAGGGCCACAAAGATGGTGCATTTTGTACCCTGCAAGGAAGAGATTTCAGCATTTGAAATTGCATTTTATATTGGCAACATGTGGGAAAACTTCATGGATTACCCAAAGCACTATACTCTAATCGTGATCGCAGATTTACCAGTGCTTTCTGGCAAAGTCTTTGGAAATTGGTTGGTTCTGACTTGAGATTCAGCAGTGCCTACCACCCACAGACTCAAGGGTTGGTAGAAAGAATGAACGCAATCTTTGAACAAACTCTATGTTGCACTGTACATGAATTGGGAGAGCCTCGTGATTGGGATTCATTGGTACCCATTGTTGAATTTAGTGTGAACAGCCAGCCAAATAGGAGTACGGGGTACACACCTTTCTTTCTGAATTATGGATATCACCCAGTGACTCCTAATGAGCTGATCAGAGGGACTGACAGTTCTCCTATTGAGACAGTAATTAGCTTCGCTCAGCGCCTGCATCGGACTTTCACCAAGGCGCGGAACAATCTCCACCGAGCGAACGAGCAACACAAGAAATATTATGATCGTCGTCACCGCCCTGAGACTTACGCAGTGGATCAGCTTGTCCTGCTATCCACTACGAACCTTCGGATGCGTGAAACACCGGCAAAGCTGCGGAGACGCTTTGTGGGGCCCTTCCGTATCATCGAACGGATTGGTACCCAATCCTACCGACTGCAGCTTCCTGATGATTGGCGTATCCACGATGTGTTTCATGTGAGTCTACTCAAGGCATGGCGTGACAGTGATTGGGATCAACGTGAGCAGGCTCCTGTTCCGGAAATTGAGATGGTGGATGACGAGTACGAAATTGAAAAGTTACTCCGTTGGTAATATGTTCGGGTAGGAAATAGAAGGACTCATGAGTTTCTTATCTTGTGGCTTGGCTGGCCGATTGAGGACGCTACTTGGGTACCGGAAGCGGAAATTAAACCTCCCGAGGATATTCCGATGATGATTGAGAGGGACCAACCAATAGAGGACACAGGTGGATCGAGTGGTGGTTCATGATTTGATTTTTAGGACGAAAATGCTCAAAGGGGGAGTGATTATCAGATTATGAACGGTCAGGACATTTATTACTAGAATATGGAGTGTATGGGTACAATGACAGTACACTAAGGCACCGGTGTGGGTGCCATGACACGGATTCTTTCTGCACCGGTGGCCCGCGAGCTTACCACCGTACTTATGTGGTGAGTGCGGTGTAGTAATGATCCTTTCTCGCGCAAGCAAACTGCGCCCGCGACCCGAACTCGCGACCTCGGCCGACCTGGCCGGCGGAGCCCGTGAGCTCGCCTGTCCCCGAGCATACCGCCACGAGCGCCGTGCCCAGCACGCGCAGTCCAACGATTCGGACCCGGCGGAGGCAAAGCATCGAGCGGCTAACCACCACGCGCATCGGAGGCCCCCTCGCGACGGCGGGGGCCCGAAGGGAGGCCGACATGTGGTGTTTGCCAACCCAAACAGCAGCGACTTTCAGGCGTTCGGACACCATGCTGTTCGATCTGCCCCCTTTCGATTTTCTCTCACAAAGATCATCGCGACTGTTTCCCCTCTCAAGCAGTCTATAGCTCGGCGCGCCCTGTGCTGTGCCGAGCAGGCACCGTGTGATAGCGAACGAATTGCGTCTAGCGGGATTCGACCCCGCGTCCCTTGAACAAGGGAAGAGCGAATCACCCACTAATACAAAGCCTTCAGGCAATGTATAGTGGTGAGCACTCTATTTAAACCCTTGTAGTGACTTGGCCGCTCTCCCTTTCTCTCTCCTCGCCGTATCACCGTGGACACCACTGCCCTCGAGCATGCTGGCCGGCGTTTGCCGTAGAGGTGGCCACTCAAAGGTGCCATCCGGTCCGTTAAATCCGGTTCGTTAATTTTTATCAGCTGTCCGTTAAATTTCGTTAAAGAAAAAGGGAGAAAAATTCAGAAAAAACGAAAAAAATCCAAAAAATCGAAAAAAAAAACAAAAAATCACAACAATTGCGGCTAGTTGAAAATCTAGTATGCATAGGTTGAAATAAAATACAAACATACTCTCTAATAGCGAATTCCATAAACTATAAGTATGAAAAAACCCAAAAATCCCCCCAAAAATCCAAAAATCCGCTAATTTTTGGTTAATTTTTGTCTTTTTTCGTTATTTTCCGTTAATTAACGGAAAATTAACGAAAATTAACCTCTGTCCGCTATTAACGGATCCGGGTGGCCACCTCTAGTTTGCCGAGATTGGCGTTGTCAGAGCCTGTCGGCGCTCTGTTGCCGTTCTGCGCTGCGAGACGGCGGGTCTCGCGAAATTGGCTTGGCGGTTATCGCTGCGCAGAGGCTTGCCAGACTCCTCGCCACTGGGCGCTCGGCGGCCCTGTTGCGATGGGCCAGGGCGCGGTGGCTTGGCGACTTGGCACACGCGGGGCGGGGCACGGTGGTAGACGGTACACGCCCCATTGAACCGTATGTTGCGGGGGGTCCGGGGCCCGGGAATGATGCCGGTCACGTGGGGGGGGGGGACACGGCGGCTTTAACGAAACGCCCAGGGGCGGTTGGCCCTCCACCACGATCATTCATTCACAGTAATGTGCTAAATCTGCGGAGGGATAGGGGGGGGGGGGGCGTGCCAGAAACTGACGTTTGAAGCACGCAGCCGCGAAGGCGCAGGCCGCGAGGACTAACAGGGGCCGCAAGAAACACCACGGCGCGCGAGGCCTCGAGGAGCGCCCCGGCGCAATGGCCGCCGCGGAAGCGAGCCAGAATCCGACCCGCATAGGCGGGGGCGCCAAAGGTGCGCAGCCCGCCATTTTTTTGGTCGGGGGTCTGGAATCTGGCGCAAGCCCCGAAATGGGCTCACGGCCTTGCATGAGTTGTGTGTAGCCCGCCAATTTTACCCAGCGCGCTGATTCTGGCCCAGCCGCCGAAATGGGCTTGCGGCATCGCGCGCAAGGGCGCGGGGGCGCTTTGGCAAATCCGCGGGTAGGCGGGCGATTTTTTGGTGCTGGGGGATCCAGGGTAAGAATTTTCACAAAAGAAGAAAGAAACAGGTCGTGCAAGGGTTACCCATCCTAAGCAGGTGCATGCGAGACTCTTTTCCGTACTTTGAAATGATGATATGGAGTCGGGCGTAACCCTTGGCGCCAGGGTTCAGGTGCAGGCATTTGCTGGGGGTGCAGGGACTTGCCGGGGCTCCAGGCTGCGGCTGGAAACTTGAAAGCAACCCGCCGGGGGGGAGGGGGGAGAGAGGGGGGGGGGGGGGGGGGGGGGGGGCGGCCCGACGCTGACGGTGGGGACCCGCATGTCAATTTGAAGGCAGGGCTTTCGGTTGTCGCCGATCTGATTTGAATTTTAATGCTGTCCTGGATTTGAATTTCGAGTTCGAATTTTGACCAATTTGCTTGGGATGGACCTATGGAGGATCCATCATTGGCTGATCAGTGGAAGCATCTGTTCTGAAATTTGATTTTGTCCTGTCCCATGAGACACCAGTGCAAGGGGCATGGACTCACTGCAGATCATTTTAAATTCCCTGAGCGAGCTCCCATTTGCGGGCTGAGAAAACACGAATATGAAGCACCACCATGGCTGGCTCGGATGCTTCTCTGTTAAAGAGACTGTTCCGCTTTAGAGCACAGAACGGAGCTTGCCATTTCTGCCCAGTGCTCATGCTGGTTGCCCGTCGTCCCTTTTGGCCAGAGTGCCTAAAGGAGTTGGAGCCCAGAAGCACATACTCTGACAAGCAATGTGTTCATTTGTTTCATTGTTTGGTTTCTTTAATCGCAGTATCATGAGCACACAGCAGTCCCTTCAGAATGCATGTTCAAGAAGTTTGGACATGCTCGGGAAGTTCCCTTTGCTATGCACTGTTCAAGCAAATCCGCAACGATTGGATGCACCACGTCCTTGCACCTGCATGTCGCTTTTGCAAACCATTCGTTGCCTCCATGAATGGTTTGCACATTTCTTCGCACTGTGTAGTAGCGATTAGCAGGCGTCAAGAACCAAAATGCACGATGCCATCTGTAGAAGGGCATATAACAGATTACAGCCCTATCGACTGTGCAGCACACGCAACAAAGCAGCTGGCAAGCTGGTCAACAGAACGGGTGGACAAAAGCAGCAGGAACCCACGAATCAGATGAAATGCACTTGTTCAAGTGGCAGCTCTGCCAAACTCTTGAAGGGAGGTAGATATGAATTGGCAAAGCAGTTGCAAGAGGCTTTGGCTGCCAGAAATGGCAACCAGCAAAGGAGGGAGCGATCCTATACTGAGAGCGTGTTGAACATGTTAGAGGCTTGAACAGCATTGATGTCCTTGGCCTGAACATAGACAACAGATTTGTGAGTCGTGAATATGCAAGCATGGGGCTGCAGCTGAGCCAATCTGTGTATACCCAGTAGTGACCGTTTTGAAACTACAAAGAACAGTTGGGAGAGGGATCCTGAAGCTTCACTGCCACAAGAGGAAGACCCAGCGAAGCATGGCCCCCGCTCCTGAACAAAAACTTTGTGTGAGGCTCCTTTCCATTCTGTGAAATTGACATGGAAGTATGTTGAGGGGACTCCAAATGGAACAGCAAAGCACACCAGCATGGAGAGCAGTTCTCAGGGCCCCTCAAGAGCAGATGCACAAGAGGATGCTCACTGTTCTTTTTCCTTTGTTGGAAAGATCATCACAGTCATTGTTTTCTGCAGACCTTGAGTATTTTCAACAGTCACAGGTTGCCTCACTGAAGCTCAAGGTGTGCCTGATGGACACGAACAATAACAGTGCAACATTTGCACCACACTGTTGCATAATGCACCAGAATGTGGTGTGTTATCTTGACCTTAATAGCCATAATTTACCATAATCTTGTGATTACGGTGCACCACAGCTTCCTGACCTAGATACAAGAACTGATGCCATTGCTTGTGGATGCTGCACAGTGGGTCCCAGCAGGGCATGGGCACCACATGCGTTGCCCATGTCTGTCACGCACGGCTCCAACCCTTACCCACGACCGGGCAGGGCATGGTCAATAGATGACTTCGAGATCGGGAAGCCATTGGGAAGTGGCGCATTTGGAAAGGTGTATGTGGCGCGTGAAAAGGTGCACAAATACATCGTGGCCATAAAGGTAAGCAGGTTAGCATCTGTTTTGTGTAGTGCGCTGCATCATTCTTTCTGCAATCACTTCGCCCTGGATCACAGCAATGACAATGCAGATGGCCGTGACTGCTACTGTGGGCAGGTTTGACAACATATGTGCGCGCATGGAGATGTGACTGCAGAAGGGGGTGGGCATCTGTCCATTTGGTACTATGTGCCTCAAGCCAATATTGCGCAACAACGGATTGACTTGCGCTGTGTGGAACAGAACAGAAATCAGATCGATGTAGTATTTTGGAACAAAGAGAACAAGATAGATGCAAAGCTCACAGTCCATACAATCCACTCACTGAGGCTGCTCTATGCCCTTTGACCACAGATTGACCAAAAGTCTGTTCTGTGGTGTGGAATTAGAGTGCCCTTTTCAGACTGAGGAGTGGTTCAGTGCTTTTGGGTCTGGAGGCTGCCATGGCAGCCAATGCTTTGACAATTGAAGCAGCATAGAAAACTAATTGCCATATTGTAGTTCACCAGCTACCACCGCTCCACTGCAATAGCACAGGGAGGACTGACTTGCATGCAGGCTGTGCTGCGGGTTGGTGAACCAAGCTGTCCACATAGAGTCAGCTGACTAAAGCCCAGGCATGATGAAGTACTATGGCTACCTGGTGCATGATCTGAAATACATACTTACAAAGTCTCATAGCAGGTAGACATATTGTTTTTTTGGTAAATATTTATTACTGAATATCTCTGCTTTTACCACAAGTATGCAAAATAAATAACTAAAATATGCACAAAATGTGTGTATTCAGCACTGAACATCGCCTTCCTCAGGTGGTCCATAAGAGGCAGCTGACCAAGGCCAGGATGGAACACCAGCTGAAGCGGGAGATTGAGATCCAGACAAGCCTCTATCACCCCAACATCATCCAGATGTACACATACTTTCACGACAAGGTGGGGGATAAATGTTGCCAAAATGTATTGCGTGTGGTGCAGTGATTTACAGCAAACAAGCTTTCATCACTTCAGTGCAGTACTGAAGTATGCTTTTGAAACTAAGTACTACAGTGGGATGCCTCAAAATCATCCAAATGTATTTTCATATGGAGATAGGGAATGTTGGCTGGCAAAATGCACTGTGTTGCAATGAGCTAGTCTAGAATGCACTAAAAGCACTTGGCACATTACCGCAGTACTTTTACAACAATCAGATGCACACTTACTTCATGGGGAGCACGCACCCTGGTATCCATGATCACTGGTCGCAGAATGGGCCAGTGTGATCCATTGTACGCAAGTACATTTTCAGAGCTGAAGCATTGTACTGCAGCGTAAGATCACCATCCCATGTTCATTTAGTCTAACAATGTTTGAATTGTTTGCTAGCTTTTTCAGCAGTTCTGCTACTGACACTTTCTCAGCACAAACATTGCTGCATTTTGTTGGCATTGGCCATGAGAGGTTTTCCAGCATTCTTGTGTTTTCCTTCATCCTTTGTGCTCTTTCTCATCACAACCTGCTGTGCTTTCTTTTCCGGGTGTGCCACTTAGCACACTGGTTTCTGCTTTCTGCAGGACCGGGTGTACTTGGTGATGGAGTATGCGGCAAAGGGTGAGATCTACAGTGCCCTGCAGAACGAAGGCTACTTTTCGGAGAAGAAGGCGGCAATGTGAGAGTTGCTTTCCTTGCGCTGTGCTTTCTTACAAAATACAACAATCTCAGCACAGTAACACTTTTCTGTGCTTGTCTATATTTCTTGCCATTATTTGAGGACATACACCTCGTTGCCCAAATATTGTTGGAAATGGAAGTGCTTGGCGAACAACTCGACCACAAATGGATTGCATGTCTTGGCAATGGGCTATGGTGCTTGGTTCTTGGCGAACGCTCGCCCACTGCCCCACCTGGGCACAGGAATATGGAACAAAAATTGGCTTGCACAATTCATGCTGCCACCAATATGCGGAGCCACGTTGAACAAGAGGTCACTTTCTGTAATCTACTGTTTCAACATCTTGTACCCACAGAATGTACACCACACACAACACACCTCCTTGCAGGCTTGCAGCATCCTTACAGCACGTGTCAGCAACAGCGCATTGCTACCCTTCCAGCATATGGACCATACAGCCTGCTGTTCACATTCGTGAATGCTTGTCCCCACAGTGGCTTTGTTCCCTCTCCCATTCTGGATGGCAGTGAAGATCCATTTGGCTGCTGTCTTATGGAATCGCTTGACCTGCATAATCAGAACTGGATATTGTTGACATGCTGACCTTGCCTTACATGTTCTGTTCAACACGAGTTGTGCTGCACGGGTGTATTCCAATTCTTTATTTCTGTCAGAATGGCTGTCCTGAAGATATTCCCGCCCACCTAATTCTAATCACTTATTGTAACACTCATTTTAATTGCATTGGACAGTTTGCTTAATTGAACCACAATCTTTGTCGATGCAAACATCATCGAATTCACTGCCCAGTGCTTTATGGCCCCTGCAGGTACATCGCCCAGGTGGCCAGTGCTCTTATGTACTGTCACTCTCGAAATGTCATTCACCGTGACATCAAGCCTGAGAACCTGCTGCTGCAAGTGGACGGAACGATCAAGCTGTCGGACTTTGGGTGGTCAATCCTCACCGCAAAGCAACGCAACACACTGTATGCGCTCAACATGGAAGTGCTGCATTAGCACATTTTGCATCTTTTTGGCGGAGTGTGTTGTGCCTGGTATTGTGTTGTGCATTGTGCTGAAAAGCATTTCTGCACCTGGCCAGACTTTGAATGGTCTTCCCTCACTGTGTGACAGTGCAACTCATTGTGCTTCCACAAGGATTTGACACATGTGCACAGTACTCCTGTTATGTGTTGTTAGAGTTGAAGTACTTCACAGCATTCCATTGTGCTTCGTTGTGCTTCACAGTGTGCTGTTCTAATTGATGGTCAGCTCTAGGTGTATAGTGTAGATGCCAGTCAGGACTGTGGCATCCTTAACCAGCAGTCGCCAGATCTGCTGACCAGAGAGATGAGTGACCACATTTGCCAGAAGTGGAACATCCACCAGAGGTGGAATTTGCCGAAGCTGCCATAGGCGCTTAAGTCAGTTTACTTCAGTTTTGTACATCACCGTTCATCCCACCATTCTCACCATTCCTCTCACCTTTCAGCATTCATTCTCAGTGAGAATGAATTCTATTATCGAGCGTGTATTGCACGCTCAATATGGTGTGGTGGTCCTGGTGGTCCAGGTCTGGAGTATCTGCTCCATATTGATGTGGTGAGAGCTTCTCACCCCTGAAGCAGTAGTGGGGATGGGATTTTCGCCAATCATTGTAGACCGCTGGCAAGGGGGCGCTGTTTGACCGTCTGAGTTCAGCAGAAGCACGTGACATGGCCAATGTGCCAAATTCTTCACGTTGCCTGCAAGGATGTTCATGCGTTCATTCACCCCTGAAGCAGGCTCTGAGCCACCTGTGCGCTTGGCAGCTGTGGCACACTGGACTACCTTTCACCCGAGCTGCTGGGCAGCGAGGCGTACGACTTCAGGGTGGACATCTGGAGTCTGGGCGTCCTGACATTTGAGTTCCTGTTTGGCGATCCGCCCTTCCAGGCCGGCAGTCGCAGTGAGACGTTCAGGAAGATCAAACAGCTGGAGTTGGTGTTTCCAAAGTTCAGACCTATCAGCCTGGAGGCTGAGAACCTCATACGCAGGGTGAGCTGTGTGTTGAGAAGTGTTTGATTTATCACATAGTTCATATATCATACGTGAATATATGTATCATATATGATCACATATATCATACACTATATGATTGATTATTCAGTATATTACACTACCTGCATTCCAACAGTATTGTCGCTTCCCTAATCTTGCCACAACTTTGCAGGATCCACTCAATTAGCCAATCTTCCACCAGATTCGGAATCCTTGGTAGGTCCTGTATTGATGTGGATCTTAGCAAAATTAGGCATCGTCGCACAACAGAACATGCACAGCCCCGTCAAAAGCGCCCTTGTCCAACTTTGCCAGGACCTCAATTCCCCGTAGTTTTGTGCCCACGGTATTCCAATGTGGGCCAGCCTGTTCGCATGAAATTATTAAAGAACCTTGTCTTAGGCAAAAAATAAGCACTGCTACAACCATTCAGGAGTTTTGGCATCATATCAGTATACTCTTTGTGGAACATCGCTTCCGGTATGCTGACTCACGACTTCAAAATTCTCAAATTCAATGATTGGCCATGTTGGCTCCATCATAGGCCGTTTTGGCATTAGCGCCAGCTTGCATGGCCTTCCTAACCTTGGTGTGTCAGCTATGTCAATGCTGTGGCCTTAATCTAGGCGTGTCTGGGCCTTTGGACACCATATACCCGCAATTCTTGTTGACGCCCGAACAATCTGCAGCAACCCCACATCGTTTACTTTGCAGATTCTGGTTTAAATTGAGTTGAATCTGCAGTGTATACCAAACCACCAGGTCAGTCATCTTTCCTAGAGTCAGCTTGGCCCGATCCACTTTAGCAAGACGAGGTCGCTATGCTCCGCCAAAGATCCTGACAAAATGCAAAGTCGCATTTCAGTTCCTCCTCATGTATCGCAACAAAGACGGCACCGATTGCTACGTTTGAAGGCTCTGCGAATAGCTCTCAACGTGTTAACGTATTTTTTGGTCGACTTTTCTGACTCGCACGTTTTGACCTTCGTTTGCTCGAATGAGGGAAGCGACAATACTATTGGAACAGAGGTAGTATCACAATCACCATACTTGCAAAACCTTATAGTGGGCAATAACTTTTGTGGAATTAAACGGGAGAAATGTTTGTGGTTTCCGCTAACTGCAAAAGCAAGCTCCCCTCCAAGCTTCTATCTTGCAAACAAAAAGGGAGCAGGGGGAAAGCTGTTTTGCTCCTGTGCTCAATCTGATGTGGCGCTTTCAAGACTCAATTCTCATTTGTGCCCCTCTTGTTCTCCGTCAGCTGCTCGTGGTGGATCCCCAGAAGCGCATAACCCTCCCATCGGTGCTTAGTCATCCATGGCTTGCAAAGAACGTGCCTGTGGACGTCCTGCAGCGTGCGAGGATCATACCAAAGGAGCCCTTCTCACGTTGAACTTAAGTACTGTAGTTCTTTTCATTGCTTCTGCACTGTAGCAGCGGCACACTTGCTAGGAGGGCTGTCTGTGGCCTGTGCTGGTGGTTCCCTTCCTATTAGGACACAAGTTTTCCATTTAGGACAGCATCTGGAGAGAACGAAATGGCGACATGCACAGCAGGGGCTCAGAATAAAGAACTGTGCGGATGTGCTGCTATCAGCAAACTGCTGGTGTTGGCATTAGTACTGGCAGTGGTATAGGATAGTTGTATTAGTGGCATGCATGCTTGGATATCTCTTCTCGATCCACAGGACCAAGACTGGATGCATTGGCCAAGTCGCTAATTTGATGGGCAATTGATTTGGAACCCATCGATTCTTTTCAATTCCAAATTCATGCCAGAAAACTTGTGTCAAATGATGTTGCCAGGATATGTGGGGAGGACAGGACCCTACTGTCAGCTGATATGAAGCCGTCGCTCCCAGCTGCCAGTAATGACACGATGTTTGAGTGCGGGAAAAGAGCGCATCTATTTGGAGCTGAGTAGGTGTGGCAGCAGCAGCAGCTGCCTGTGCAAGAGCTAAACCTAGCTAAACCCAGGGTCAACGTGGGACATTAAATGCAGCAAATCGCCCTGGTGTCGCCCCCAGTGGTTCAAGCAGTCGTTACGCATCTCTTCGGTTTGATTCAAACACCATCGATTCAGTTCAAGAATAACAAGTCGGCTCAAGTAGTATCACACGTCAAGGGCTAGTCTTCAGCTCTGTAATGTACCAAAGAAAAGCACTGTACAGGACTTGCCCATTGAGGTACCGTACCAGAGAAATCCGCCATCCACCATTTTCAATTTGCTGGAGGATGCATCACATCATATTGAATGATTCAATCAAGCAATGAGTACACCAGAAAGAACAAGAGGTCAGCAATAAGGCAACAATTGATTGTCGTGGTATTGCATAATGAGCGTGGTACTGCTCTGATCGGTTGGTGGAGGGGCGTAGCTCTCAGGAGGCTCGTCCCCATTGACGGCGGATTGGTCCTGTGCCTCGCCAATGAACCTGTACATTGTACATGTACTAGTGCCGTCTAAATTGCACAAGTGGTGTGCCTATTGTTCCTAAAGATATCATCGCGTTCAAGTGCCGGTTGCCACCCCCGACCTGACAAAACAGATGCGGGCCTTTTGGCCCCCAAGCGACAAAGCACAGGGCGACAAGGCTCACACTTGCGCTTGCGCCACACTTCAAAGTGTGGTGCATGTACGAGCACTTCGCCAGATATAGCTTCGCTGCTCCCGGGCCTGATTGTACTTTGCACAAATCTGCAGCACCTTGATGTACAAGCACGTGCCTGGATTGGCACCAGATGCCCATCAGGTTTTGAATGACCCCTCCGGATCAGTGACCAGGACTAAAAGTGGGATTGCACGACATCCGTACCCTCCATGACCACATACCGCCTGCCGCAGCACTCACATAAGGCCAACGCGCCTTTCTAATGCTGTCCACCAATCCATCCGCCGCGGGCATCAGCACATGGCACCACACATCCGACCGGCTATGCCCGCGCCATGACGTCACGGCACTGCCCCCCCGCCTCCCTGAAGCATTACAGGGCCACGCCCGGCAACAGAACACCGGAACTGACCCACCTGGCAACTGACCCACCAGCATACTCACCCACCAGCCTGCTGACCCACGGCCGCCGCAGTGGACGCGAGGCGCCAGGGCGCGGCGAGGACACGCGCTGAGGCTGCCATCTCAGAGGGGCTTGGCTCAAACTGGAGGGGCGCTTGAGGTGCGGGCTTCAATCGATTTGACGGATGCCGGTCTGGTAGATTTCTCGGCCAGGGGAGCAACGTTGCGTCCCGCTGCACGCCCTTGTGGATCCGTTTATCCTGTGATGAGTTTTCGGTGGCGAGTGGACGGCCATCGGGGGGGGCCAGGGCGCGCCTAAAATCGGTTGCAGCACGGATTGAATGTTGGGGGGAGGGGGATTTGGGTTGCCGTAACGGTTTTCGCGGTTGCTTGCCGCGGCCGCCGGTTCTGTGGCCGAGATGCCGTCGGCTTGCCAAGGCTGTCGCCTCCCGAGGCCGTCGCGGGGCATCGATCATTGTTCGCCGCATGCTTCCGGTCTTACGGCCATCCAGCTGCTCCGCCAATGCGGCCACGAACTTCACACAGCCATTCCCGTACCCACCCACCACCACCCCTCCTGCTTGTGCTGTGTGCTCATCGCTTTGCACCGGATACCCAACATCAATTTTCAGAGCGCGGAAAAGAGTCCCGCACACGCCTGCATAGGAGTGGGCGCCCTTGCTGGACCCTGTCATTCTCTTCGTCACAATTTCCCCCCCACCCACCCCTTGCACCACACCACACCACACCACGTGCACGCACACAAACACACCAAGGTGTTGGTGGGCCGTCGAAGGGATCGGAGGGTTCTTCTCTGAGTCGCGTCGGTTCAAAGCGAGCGTCCAGAGGGGAAAGGGGGATCGATATGCGGGATTGATCGGAAGGAGAGCGGTGCGCGAGTGTCACGAGGGCGTGTCGGCTAGGCGTAACGCGGGGCCTCCGCAGATGCGCCTGGCGCCTGGCCCTTTCTGGGGGGCATCGATCGGGGAAGGGAAAGGTTGGGCTAAGATTTGTTACAAGGAGAGAAAGAACAGGTCGTACAAAGGGGCACACCCCCTAACAAGTGTGCTCGAGACTCTTTCCCATGCTGTGAGAACATGATGCAGAGCTTCCGAGGGGGAAGAGGGAGGGGGCGTTTATGTTGGCCGTGAGGTGCTGGCTGCTGGGAACCCGAGGGCTGGCGGCCCCTGGGGGTTGCGCGCGTTTGGGCAGGGCCGGCGGTTCCTGGGCGCGGCGTCGGAGATTTCTCGGGCCATGAGTGACGGGAGACATGACCAGAGGCGTGAGTCATGATGACAGGGCGGGGGGGGCAGTGGGACCCGCCACCTCGCAAGTTGGCCAAAGTACTGGCTCACAGTACCCATGTGTGCTGTGACCAAATGCACGTATCTGTGCACAGATTTGTACTGTGAGCACATGCACATATATATGCACATATATGTACTGTGAGCCGATGTACTTGTATATGTAAAGTGAGCGAGAGAGCTGAGAAGGGAACGACAGTGAATTGAACAGGTGTTTGGTGAGTGTCTGTGTATCGTTGGAAGATTCGTCAAGTGTCCATCTGTTGGTTTAATCCCACAGTGCATGTCACTTTCAGGGTCAGTCCAGGCTCGCTATTTCTCGGTGTGGATTGCGGGAAAATGGTCCTGTGCCTTTTGGGCACACACGAATTGTATGTGCCAACAAACACTATTGTGTGGTACGATGGCATGTACTGGCAATGCCAAACAGCGTGCGGTGGGGTGCCAGGTGCTTGGGTAGGAACCACTTGGATTTAGGACCTGCACGTTCTCACCGCACCCTTTTTCTAATGACCTGGTCATGGCATGAAGTGAATGAATGAACGAACATCCTCACAGGCAGCGTGCCACATTGGTCATGGCACGTGTCTCTGCTGAACTCAGACAGTTGAACAGCGCCATGAAGTCTCTGACCCTCTCCGTTGGTTGCATGCACAGAACCCACGGCTTACATTTTCCATCCCCGTGGATAGGTAATCCCAGCTGTTGGGCATGGCCCGGCAGGTCCGCAACCCGGCCACGCAGTCGCTTCGCAGCGCCCTGAGGAGCAAGGCGGCCGTGTTTATGGGAGAGGACACGTGCCGCTTCAGGATGGCCAGCGGCGGGGGGCGAGGCGCGGCGCAGGAGACGTTCATCGCCGTCAGGAGCGACCGACTCGTGCGCAACCTGGGCCAGGTGCGGAATCAAAATGAATTTCCATTTTTGATCCATTCATTTTGAAACAGAAATGTAAAATGGAGAATGAAAAATGAAAAATGGAAAATGAAAAGGGGAAAATGGAAACTGAAAGAACGCCAAATGAAAACTGGATAAAAGAAAGCAAGAAGAGCAGAAATCGAAGACGTTAAGACCGACTGACGTTCAAATATTGCCTGCGTTCAAGGGCTGAGGTTGCTGCGTGTTAGCCCGCAATGGCGAGGACGTCTGTGACTGAGTTGAATCAAATTTGGGCATTCACGTGCAGCGCCCTCTGCGGGAACATTTGTCCGGCTGCAACCTTCCGTACTATCGCCTGTAGGCTGTAGTCTCGTAGGGGTTTCCCCTTGTTTCCAGCCTGTTCTTTTGTCTGTCTTCTTCGCTGCCCTTCATGGATTTTTTTTTCTATTGCCAATGGAACATGTGTACCACCTGCTTACTGGCCATGTAGCAGGTGAGTAACACACACACGTTGCCCCTACAATCGCTTTTACTGGTTTGATAATAACAAAAAATAGAAACAAAATAATAGCCATTGCTTCGTGAACGTACAATATTGTTCGCTGACAAAGATAATATTCGCTGGCAACACATTGTCGATAGGGTACCCTGATTTACCAACATTCGTCGATGAAATACTGTTGTACATCTATGTGCCAACGTTCTTGTGCTGACTCCGTGTTGCCATGCACTGATTGGCCCAGGTTGCAACCCTTGGCGTGGGCGGCCTCTTTAGGCAAAACCCATAAACCATATACTTGCTCGGCATACTGTACCTGTAATCGCAGGGACAAATTAATACCCATTTCTTTATCAACCGACAATGTGCGAATATTCTTGCTCTGACCCTGTGCTTGTCGTGCACTGATTGGCTCAGGTTGCCACCCTTGGCATGGGCGGCCTCTTTAGGCAGCCGCTCCAGCAGTTCCGGCTGGTGGGCGTGGACGCCGAGACGCTGGATGCCCTGCGCAGGGTGTGCGCAGGGCGGGGCGCGACCTTCAACATGGTCATGGTGTTCCTGGAGCTGAGGGGGTACGCGCAGTACATGGAGGCGACTGGCAGGAAGCTGGGCTGGAGGAGCACCGTGGCGTTCATGAGGCGGGAGGGGGCCGGCCCGGCGGGGCGGGAGCCCCTGCAGACGGGCCTTCGCGCCGGGGAGGTTGCCATTTAATTGGGTGCTCAGTTAGGTGCGCTGATTGGGTGGCGCCGTGCGCCGTGGATGCACCCCGTGACCCGCGTTTGTAAACGTTTGTAAACGCGGGTCACAAGTTTTTAGGGGGGTGAAGCATGTCACTTTTTTCAGAGGGGCCCGGAGGGCCTGGCAGTGCATGGGGGAAGGGAATATGAAGGAGCATCAATGATGCAATCGAGAAGAGAAGTGAGGGATTCTATGTGGAAGGCACCGCAGACAGCCGGGCTTCCGATTCAGCAAGTCATTAATTAGCCGGCAATCGATTAAATTGAAATTGAGGTCGGCCTTTAGTTGCTTGGGGGCGCACGTGGCAGAGTTGCCTTGCGAGCTGGATGGCTGAGCGGAGTGCGGGAAGGCGACCAAGAGAATTGTGGGACTGAGGGGACCTTGGCCTCATATTGAGGGATTGGCGCCGGTCGACGTCGACACAGCGTCACAGGTCGGTTGTAGTTTCGGGCCTAAACATACAAATAGGCTGTTTTAGCTGCGGTACTTCCCCCCGTAGATTGCAGTACTTTCCGCGATGTTTTCCTTCTTGCTTTTGCGCAGAGTTCATAGAGGCGAGGGAAGAATTTCGGGGTGGAGGAAGAAGCTAGAATATTGAAGACGGGAGCGGGCCGCTGAGGCAGGAATCCCTGTTCGCCGTGTTTTCTGGGATCGCAGCTTTCAATTTCTAAATCGCATCCAATTGGTTGCCCATCGATAGATCACAGAAGTGATCAATGCCGCAACACTCTATTACTGTACAGCACTGAGATTGCCGAACATTTTCTTGCCATTAGCTTGAAACTGGGCTTCATGCGGTTTGGATTTGAGGCAGTTTAGGGCCGAGGAGCCAAGTACATACACCAAGGGAACCGCGTTTTCAAATTCGGGCTGCAGGCCAAGGGCTCGGGGATTTTTTCGGGGAGAGGAGCTAGGCTGCGGAATTCAGATCGGACAGTTGCGGAAGGTCCTTGGGGCCCCGTTTGGGCCTTTTTTCCCAGCGCGGGCTGACATGGCACCGGATTCAATTTGAATGCCGGGCGGCGCGCCCGCATGCAATTCACGCCGGTGGCCGACCGTTGCCGTGCGCTGGGCTGAACTTTGGAAACTAGCGAGTGAAAATTATTTTATTTTTCATTTTCAAGTGCTTGGGGGGCCTCGGGGCCCATTCGGGGTACAGCGACAGGTGGCGGCTTATGTTGAATTTCCAGACAGACCTGTACATGCGCGTCGCGACAGACCTGTCATGATGGTTTTAGAATGCGATCCACCTATTCTGGCCGTTCTGACTTGGGGGCTTGCGTTGATGGAGGGGGGACAATGAGGGCGGCTGGAAGGCCGTGCGTGGGAGCTGACTTTTTTCGGGGGGTTAGTATTGGGCAACATTGCAACCCTCAGCACAACGATGTAATTGATGGTCTAACTTATTCTCACGCCGTTGCTCCTGTGCAGTTCTGTCCGCCCATGCAACGAGCTGCCCCAAGTTACGTTAATTCATCTCTAAGTAAATTTGTTAGCTTGAATTAACCCTGTTATGATCTCGCCCCTAGCACTAACCCTGGTATGCTTTGGCCCAGGAGATAATGGTGGTGTAAAGTATTGACCCTTGTATCGCTTTCTCCCTTGGAACTTCCTACTACCCTGCTTTCAGGAAGGCACGGTTCGGTTTGCTCCATTGGTGCCACAGTTACAATTTTTTTCAAAACACACAGTTAAAAAACAGGTAAAAACCAGTTTAAAAGGACAGTCAAAAAAATAGAAAACGGCAGAAATACTGGCAGTGGAGGGAAGCCAGCCCGTTGTGCGAGCTGCGCGTCCTTCATCCGGAAATCTGGTAGGCGTTGATGCAACATTAGCAGGCCATTGCATCAACACCGCTCTACAGACACGAGCTCTGAAAGTTCGCGTTGATTCAAGGGCCTATCAATGGTGCTGCTACGGCTGGAACTCATTGAGTGTTATTAATAACTGAATGCATGAAAGAATGATGAAGCACTAGGAATTTCATCAAGGATGTTGATGAACGGACGGAATATAAAGGACAGAACGCTTGCTGTCCTTTGCCTCGGCTGTAAACCGTTGTCGTGGACTCGAGCGTACTATTCCCGTTCAGGGATCGCCACCCCTGGGATCCGTTCAGGGATCCTGCCTGCCTGTTTCAGTGCATCAAATGCTGCCAAATTTCTGGATGCATCTCCGGGCTGATAAATGGATCTTTGATGCAGCATTGATGGAATACTGCTTGTTTGGGCATGTTGCATCAAGATGTCTTGCTGGAGGGCTGACAAATGCTGACGCCAAGAGTTATTGTTTCAAGGACAGTTCACCAGTATTGAGGACCGGTTCTTCAATGGCCCTCTTGCATCAACCCTCATCAACTGTACATCAACAACAGCCGAATTTCCAGATGTTGGCGCGGTGATGGCCGAGAAGCTAGGGCTTAGTCACTTGTTTGGAAAAACACACACCATTTGAAAAATGACCACTTTCCGCGTGTACTAGTACAACACTCAGTGCTTTGCAGCACTTTGTTGTGCCACTTCTTCTGAAATGCACAGTCCTGGATCCCGAGATTGGACAATTTGGTTTGGAACTGGACTTAATGGAATATTCGGCCCCATGCCATGGTTCTCAGGCCAGCCCCCGCGTGGCACCTGCCAGGAAGCTGCACATCACACGTTCAGGCAGCTTCCCAAAAAGCAGCACGTCTCCCTTAGTGTGCGTGCGTGCATGCAACGTCCTATTTGTCTCGTCACTGTTCGTCATGAATAAATGATCTTGAACTGGATTGACAGCGATGATGGTGGTTGTACAACCACTGACACATGTGTCAGTGCGGTTTTCAGAGATCTCTGAATCTCTGATCTCTAGAGCTGTTGTCTAAAGAGGCATCGTGTGCGTGCGTGCGTGCACCATCTTGTTCAGTACTTCGTGACGCAGCTGTTCGCCATGAGTAAATGATCTGAACAGGATTCACAACGATGGAGACGGTGTTTGCGAATGTGGTTTCGCTGAATTGCTGCCCAAAGAGATGCCGGAGTTAGGGAGCACTACCCGGACATTGCAGTACTGCTGCAGTGCTGGCGCGATGTTTCCGAGACATGTACTCAAAGGGATTGAGGTATGCGATACACTCCCCGTAGTCCTGTATTGGGAGCGTTTTGGAGCGACCCAGCACCACTCAGGACGACAGTGGCAGGCGCGCAGCTTGCGCTTGATTCATTTGGACGGCACCACGACCTGCCAATTACAGGCGGGTGAGCGACAATTTAGCCAATTGACATCCTGACCAAATTAAAGTATATGTCAGAGACGGTATGTGATACCGACCAACAATAAGATTAATAATAACAGTAATACCGACTAGTAGTAGGACTAATTTGGTCATATTGCAGTCAGCCTTGGTCATCATTCGGCGGCCCCAACAGTCCCCTCCATTCGCAGGAGCCAGTACATTTTCCGCACATGCAGAAATAACGCCACGCCCGAATGTGTACCCTTGTGCGTGAGCGCGCGGGCCGCGGGGCGGGGCCCCGCGGCCCGGCCAAGATTTCGCCCAAATTTGTACTAATTATTTGAATTTTTCAATTTCTGGCTGGGGCCGCGGGCCCCTTTTCGAATACAAGGGCGACACGATGGGCCTGGCCGCCTGACACAACCGGGTTTGGACCACCGAGATTCGGAGGGGCTGCGAGTCGACTGGCGCGGGGCGTCCTGTGGCTGCACTGGGCAGCCGTCCTGGTACTGGACGGGAGTCCTGTGACCGGCGGCGGGGGATCGGCGCAGAGCGGAGCGGTGGGTTCGGGGCGGCCCGGGGCGCCCACGTGGCCAGATGGGGGGAGGGATGGATCCGGACGGAATGGGTCGGTTGACCGCTGCGTTGACCGTGCGTTGACCATGCGTGTTTGGCGGTTTCGTCCGGTGGCTGGACGAGAAGGGAGTTTGGTGTGGCCGATGCATCTGGCCTGAATTCCGGAAGTTGAGCCAGAGGGAAATGGGAGAGATCGAGAGACATGGGCAGATTGGCGTTGGACCTCTGTGCGCGGCGCGGCCATCCTGGTGGGCAGGGTTTGGTCGGTGTTGGTGACTTCGTGGTTGACATTTGTGGATGACTTTTGACGGCTGTGGCTTTTTGGTCATTTGCACTTGCGGCCGGGTACTTTTGTGGGGCCGCGGCGCGAGGGTTGGCTCGGGATGTCGGAGGTCGGAAGTTGAGCGCGAGACCACGAAAGGGGGCCCGGGAGGGAACTGCGCTCTCGTGTAGCCACATTTTCTGAGCCTCAGTTCTGGCCCCCGTGACGGGGCGGCGAGAAAAATTGCGCAGAAAATGCGCAATGGGGATCGAGTGGTTGAGGGTTTGGGATGATAGCGTTGCTCGCGAAGAGAGCGGCGCCGCGAAGGCGGCACCAGCGGATCGGCGGCGGCCGGTGGTCAACGGCGGGACGCCGGCCTCGGCCTCGCACGCAGATCCTGAATTTGGACTCCTGTGTCCTGAGTCGTGAGTCCTATGCCGATGCGAAAAAGTGTCCTGCGAAATGACGGGGCCGCATCGAGATCCGCGTCGATGGGCGGGGCGCCGATGCGGCTCGGGGTCGCCGAGATCGCTTTTATGGCGGGCCGGGCGTCACTTTTGTGGCATGCCTCGGTTGCCTGTGAAGGCAGCGTGCATGGTCGGCGACCTAGGGGGCCCAGCGCTGAATCTGAGCGTTGACCGTTGGCTTTGGCGGTCGGTCGATGGCTGCATGGGTGTTGCGGTGACCGGGGAAGGCGGCGTGCATGGTGAGCGACGGAAGGGCCCCCAGTGCTGACTTTGACGTTGACAGTTGACTTGGACGTCGATTTTGGCGTTGGGGTGCTATTTGGCTAGTGTGGCAACCGAGGGCCTCGCCGTGCAAGCTATCGGTCGGCGTTGGCGTTGCTGTGACGTTAAAAGGCGCTGAGGTAGTCCGCCAAAGCCGATGTGCTGCCGCGACTCTCGTGTGCGCGAGGCAGCGTGCGGGTTGGTTTGCTTATTGCCGTGAAGATCATGAATCGTATGGATCGTGGCGGATCGTGGTTGGTGAACCACATGGTGCAACTGTGTGGCTGCGCCATGTGGTGCACCGCACATGTGTGTGCAATTCCATCGATTACCTACTTGTCACCCACAAGACCAGACAGGCCTTTCACCAAGCTGGCGATGTTGGGCACATATGCGGGCTGCGTGGGCTTGGCGCGTTGCTATGCTGCACAGTACTCTGCACGTGCCACGTACTTTTGGCAATAGGGAGTAACAAAGACAGATTGCCATTTGCCATCACATGGCGACATGTACCGCCGGCGAGGCCTTCAAGCGCAGCGTTTTATACTCCACAGAATGTGCCGTGTGCCAAAGGATGGGTATCAGATGGGTTCCAGCTGCAGACGTCGCAACAATCAGATTTCTCATTGATTCATTCGAATGAACTTTGGCAACAGGGCACAGTTGCGGTAAGAATATGACTGTTTGCTTACGATGAGTGGAAACACATTTGATTATTCGTCCGAATTCTTGTGCGCAAAATTGCCAGAGCGCTAAGTACATCTATGACGCTGTGTAAAATTAAACCTTCTCAACCCACGTTCTGCCGTGTTCGTCGATGGGAATAAATATGTCGGTCACTGTGACCTCACCGTTATATTCTGCTGCTTTGCCAGGTCCCGCACTCAACCAGTTCCGGAAGCACGGCGTGACTCCGACACTCTCGTTACACAGACCGATAGTTTCGATACGACAGACCGTCGACGTCTACGATACCACAGATGGCGGCGGGGGACTCGCAGCACGCCGTGAGGAAGGCCCTGGCCCTCGTCAAGAACAAGTTCGACATCTTCTGCGGCGAGGACAAGTGCCGGTTCCGGCCCGCGGCTGGCCCCAAGGCCCAGCCCGCCTCCCCCACGGGCCCCAGTGCCCGGGCGCCCGGGCCCGCAGGCGATGGCTCATCCCCTGACACCTACGAGGCCTTAGGGTCCGACAAGGCGCTGCGCAACTTGGGGCAGATCGCCACCCTGGGGGTGGGCGGCGCCCTTCGGCGGCCGGTCAAATCTTTTCAGATCCTGGGCGTTGACCAGTCAACGCTGGCGGCCCTTGCCGCCTCCGTGGGCCACGCCGGCGCCACCTTTGAAGAGATCATGGCCTTCCTGGGCAGCAGGCATTACGTGGCGTGGATGACTGATGATGACAGGCGGCTGGGCTGGACGCGTGTCACGGTGGTGATGAAGCGCGAGGATGGCGAAGGCGAGGAGGAGGGGGGATCGAACGGCAGGAATTTGAATCTGGGCGGGCTGGGCAAGGGGAAGGCGTTCATCCGGCCGCAGAAGCTGCGAGAGGTTGTCTCTGAGCCGGTGGGCGGTGGGCCGGATGCCAGGGTGTTTTCCAATCGCGCGAACACGATATCCTGAGCAAAATTGTGCGTCGATGTAAGATTCGAACATGACGTCGTTATTACAATTATGTGTCGATGTGACTAAGATTCGAACACAGCATCGCGAGTGGAATTATGCATCGATGTGGGTACAGTTCGGGCACGACACCGTGAGTAGGATCATGCATTGATATGGATAAAGTGGGAAAACGACATCGTGAGTAAAGTTATGCCTCGGCGCGAGCAGAATTCGAACGAATGCGGTTGTTTTTGGGCTGCTGCAGCAGTGCAGTGCTGGGATGTTTTCTTGGCATGGTGTTCACGGTGACCATCTTTGGTGTCTAGCAGTTGAGGGCGGACTGCTCGACAGTTCCTACAAAATTGTATTGAAAGGGGTAGGCTAGGCTTGCTTGTGGAGTTTTGGTAGGACGTTAGCTGGCCGAGCACGGCGCGACTGCGCAGCTGTGGATCTAATTCAAAGATCGAGGCGCGGTGCCGGGCAGTTATTTATTGCGTTGTTGGATTCCTTCGGCCTGATGGACCACCCCATTTCTGTTGCGAAATTTCGGAGGCGGGGCTTTTTGGGGGTACTTGTGTAATACACTGTTTTGCGGTCAGCGCGGTACCGCGCAGGAGTTGCCAGAGTGGTACCAAGAGTATGCCGATACAGGCGTCTACAACGTCACATAATTGATGCGAAGCATTTTACCATCACTGTTGCGCACCAAATCGCACGTTTGATACCAAGAACGGCCACACGTACACACGTACGTATACATACGATACGTACACACGTACCAATACAATACGGCCACGCGCCAGGTCACAGACTTGGTCCAACGGCACCGTCACATTCTCATTTCGCAATGCGTGAGTCGCAGCCGAGCAGAAAGCACTCGGCACAAGGAACACGCACCAATGAAAGGTGGCACGTTTCAGTGAAATCAGCAACTTGTTGTTTGAGGTTAGTGCAGACCTTCACCACACGTTTCGTGGTAATCAACAACGTGCTCATTTCAGTTCAACGCAGTCTGCTAGCAACCGACAATTTGTCAAGTTCGGCGCTTGTCGTGTTGTTGGACCTCGCCAGGCAGGCCCGCCACTGGCGCAGCTGCAACCGGACGCGATTTCTGTTCTGTGGTGCGTTGCCTCGCATCTTCGCGGAGCGCGTTCTCGCGCCGCACCCACAGCGAGTCAACAAGGAGATCAGTCACTGTCACGGTCCTGCCTGTGACTAAGACTGTGCCCAAAAGCCCAAATCGCGGCCAGTCAGGCCTGTCAAGGGCCTGGCCACCGCTCTGCGCCCTCGACGCGCGAGCAGTGACTCGCCGCTTCAGGAATACTGGCGCAAAATACCATCCTGCAAAGTACTGAGCGCAATATAGAACTGAGTATAATAAAGTATGCTGAGCATAATAAGTACTGAGCCCGGCGACCCAAAGACAGTCAAGGCACGCCGCGCAATCGCCCCCCCGTGCTGGTGAAAGGCCGCGTGCGTCACTCACCCATCTCACACTCAATCTCACACGTCTCGCACCTCCCGCGCGCTCCCTGTACTCTAGCGCCACCAGCACTTTGCTGCCAAGGGTTCGAGCCGCGTGCGCCGCGCAGGTGGGCCGGGTTTTTTGGCAGCAACTTACGTCACCTGAGCTCCACACTTCCGTCCTTACTTACCCCCCTTACCATCCTTACCCGAACTGATTCGCCGCTGTCCGTGCCGGGGCATGGCATGATAGTGAGCCAGGTTGCGCGCCGGCCGGCTCCGAAAAAGCGAAACGGTGCTTCCACTGCCACGGCGACATTTCAGGAGGGGCGACGTCCGGGCGGGCTCTTCGGCCTGGCGGCGCCGGGAGGGCCCGGGGCGTCTGGAAGATTCCGGCGTAGGCGGCCGGGTTTGAGCGGTGAGTAAGAATGCGCCGCAGCAGCGTGGCTCGCGCGCTCGCGGGCGGTTGGGCTGGATCGCGGTTGGGGTGACGCGAGCATGGAAATTGGCGCGGCGCGATGTGGGATAGGGTTCGGAGGGTGTTGGGGGGTGGGGCTGATAGGAATCCGGGGGTGGATTGTCCTTACGAGAGGGGCGTGGGGCTGGGAGGGCCGGGAGGGGAAGCCAATGGGCTGGCAGCGCCGGGCAGCCGCGGATGGGAGGGAGGTCGACGGTCCACGGTGGGGGACGCGCCCGCGAGCGCTGCGGCCTTGCGTTCGAGATCGGATCTCGAAATTCAGTTGTGCGGGGGGCCCAGAGAGCGCGAGGCGATGCGGCGGGGCGGGGGGATCCGGTTGTGGCGCAGCGCGCCCGGCGGCCCTTCCTGCGCCCCGCCGGCGCTGATGCGAGGCATCGCCGGTCGCTTGTTGGGGTTCGTCAGCTTCTGGGGGCTTCTGGGCCTCGTCGCCTTCTTGGTCTTTCTGACACTGGTCATTCTGTGGGGCTTTCTGGGGTTTGTCATTTTCTGGGACTCTCTGGGAATCGTCATTTTCTGGGGCTTTTGGGAATCTTTAGTTTCTGGGGCTCTCTGGGGCTCGCCATTTCCAGGGCATTCTGGGGTTGACGCTTTGGGGCCTGATCGTTGTTCAGGTTTTTCCGGGGCTCGTCGATGTCTGGGGCTGCGGCACGCACAGCGAAAGTGAGGGGCGAAGGCAGACTTGCGCGCTGCCGGTCTGGTCTCTCCAACGCCGAGTCTTGGATTTTTTGGGCTGTGACTCATTTTTTGGCGCCGAGAAATGCACATGCCGACACGGGGGCGTGGCAGCCGCGGCGAGGAGTGGCGGATCGGGGCCCGAGGAACCGGGCGGGGGGGCGGGAGATGGTCAACGGGGCGCTGGACGGTTCGTTGACTTGCGTTGACTTTGGGGAGGGGGCCGTGCGGCGGGAGGGCAGGGGGGTGCCGGCCCGCGATGGGGGCGAAAGATGTGACCGGGACGGTGATGGATGTGACGTGCATGTCAAGTGTGGTGGGCCGTGCCGCGGTGTGCCACGAGGTGCTGCAAAGTACAGGGAAGAAAGTATGCTGCGCGTAATGTACACTTAGGGTTATGCAGTTTGCAGTGGGGGTTGGCCAATTCTCGCCGCGTTTAACTACCGTGGCATATTCGACCCTTCCGCATCAGACAATTTTGCTCCGCACCTTTTTCCAAAGCGTTATTGTTGATTTCTTACGTTGCCCCTCAAAGATTTTTTAAAGAGAGCTTTGTTTATTTTATTGTTTTTTCCCAAAAAAAGGTCAGGCGTTACGTTACTATGCGGAAGCTTTGAAGTTACTACGGTACTCTGATTGCGTGTTGAACCTCTTCCAGAATGTGACCATAATACAGTCGATTGCACAAGGCAATATGGTACATTACAAATCTACTTGCACATAATGGATAATGATCTACATACATAATGGAGATTTTCGTGCAGCAAGCGGTCACCAAACTGTTTGCCAGTGACATGACCGGGTGCCAGCTATCTTGAAGTTTGTGGTAGAAACGCTCAGTCGCGCGTTTTGCCAAGCCCCGGACGTCCGATGCTCAATCCAGCGGCTCTAAGTTCCTGCTGCATTTTCTTTGGGCAGAATTTGTGGGGGTTTTTTAGAAACCTGGGCGGTGGGCCTGCGATAGTTTTACTTGCTTCCAAAATTTGGGTATTCCATTATTGCTTTTCATGCATTTTTATGTGGTGCATGCAATTTACGCAATTGGCAGGGGTAGTGGGAGGGGGTGGGGGCAGAGGGGTTGTACTTCAGTCTCGTAAGGTTTGACCCACAGAATCCACGACTTGGGCACCAAGAGCGCCCCTGCAGCAGCGGCGCCCGCCACTCTCCATGAGCACCTGCGTTTAATGAGCACCTGATCGTTCTATGTTGTATGCGACACTGATTCTATGCTGCAGCGAGCAGTAAGTGCGGGGCAGATCTTGTTGTGACGTGGGATTTTCAGTGCAATGGCACCGACAACACACGGATCGTGGAAACAAAACACGTCACAATCATGTGTCGAATGAGCTTGATATCATCAAATTTGTGAGCGCGCAAAATTTGAAAGGCGAGGAAAACGCATTGCCCCATTGAATTCATTGTTCTGCCGACAAGCGTCAGGATACTGCATGGCCTTTCGCAGAACTCTGTGCAACCGAGGCCAGCTGCTCACATGAGCACTTTCAACGCACCCACCTTGGGTGTTTTGGTTCACTTGCCACAGGACTCGCAGAGACGTCGGCCCCCAGATACCGAGATATTTTGCGAGATATTTCCTGACACATATCCACCACCGCGGGCATTTTCTGCAAATAAAATATGGCAGAAACTCCGAAGAGCCCCGCGAAGAAGGCCCCCGTGAAGAAGGCCCTAGCCGCCGTGAAGACCAAGTTCGACATCTTCTGCGGCGAGGACAAGTGCCGCTTCCTGCCCGTGGCGGCCCCCGGGGCCCAGCCCTCTTCCCCGGGCCCCGGGGACCGGTCCCCAGGGCCCGCGGACGGCGACCACGGCTCAGCTCCTGACACCTACGAGGCCCTGGGGTCCGACAAGGTGGCTCGCAATCTGGGCCAGATCGCCACCATGGGCGTGGGCGGCGCCCTGCGGCGGCCGGTGAAGTCCTTTCAGATCCTGGGAGTTGACCAGTCAACGCTGGCGGCGTTGTCGTCCGCGGTGGGGCACACCGGATCCACCTACCCCGAGATCATGGCCTTCCTGCGCAACCGGCACTACGAGGAGTGGATGACTGAAGAAGATCGGCGGCTGGGCTGGACGCGCGTGACGGTGATCATGAAGCGCGTCCAAGATCCGAACAGCGCGAGGGAGGAGGAGGAGGAGGACGGGGGCTTGGGGAAGTCGGAGGCGTTCATCCGGCGGCACAAGCCGCTGCCTTTGAGAGAGGTCGCCACGGAGCCGGCGCAGTCGTCCGCCTTCCCCAACCCGATGGGGACCAGGACGAACACGCTGTGAGGCGTCTCGTTCAGTGGATGGCGTCGCCGGCCTGTCTTTGGTAAAGTGCTACTGGGCTCCGCGCTTCACAGTCCTTGCTGGTACCGCTTTTTCCTGCATGGGTATAGGTGGCCGAGGGGCGTGTGGGCTCCATGTGCGCGCTGAACGGCGCCGTGTGGGCACGCTTTGTGGGTACGCTATGTGGGTATTCGCACCATCTTCGTCGCATGAAAGGCGCAAGGATCATTCGGAGGCCATTCGGACACAGTTTTGAACAAGCTATTTCGGGTGTGAAGACATGTTCAGATGCGCGGTCGCTTGTGATCGCGTGCAAGCCGCAAGAGCCCCGGTTGGTCTTCCGAGGGCAGTTTGAAACAAAGGGTTTTGGCTGAAGTTTTAAACAAGGAATTTGGGCTGCGAGGCCGCCTCGGATGTGCATTGGTGCGCGGTCGCCTGCGAGGTGCTGGGGTACCGATTTGTCTTTCCAGGGCAGTTTGAAGTTGAAATTTCAAATTTGAAAGGGCTGCTTAAACCCTATGTTAAACACAGGATTTTGGCGGCGAGGGGATGCCCTTGGACGTGCGCTCGCGCGCCACCACTCGCGGGATGCAGGGATGCCAGTTTGACTTTCGAAAGCAGTCAGAACAAAGGGTCCATTGGGCATATGCTCACGCGCAATCGTTTACAGGGTGCAGAGGTGCCGGCTTAGAAGGCAGTTTGAAGCAAGGGATTTTGGCTGTGAGGGGTTTGGCGGAATGGCCGTGTCTTTGGCGGGGTTGTTAGTGTCTTAAAGAATTGTTGAGGTGTAGTGGATCGAACACACCGTTGACCAGGCTCCGATGCGGGAAGTTGTGCGGTGTTGAAAGAAACGCCCCATCGCGCACAGAGCGACAGGCGATTCCCCTCTGGAGCAAGAGAAGCCAGGGAAGTGGCGACCGCAAATCGCCACCTTTCGGCCCTCGTTCGCAGCCCACACTCGCTGCCGGAACCCGCAGTACCTCCGCCTTGCAGCCGTCCCGTCCACGGTTGCCAATTCCTTCGACGCACCACGTAATGCGGCCTCCCTTTCGCCTCCGTCGCTCCCTGTCAGCCCACGTCGCGCCAATGTGGCGTTTTGCAAAGCACCCTTGCAAGCGCACCTTCACAATTGTGGAGGTTGGCACTTTTTCCTCGATGCATCTGCATGGTCTAATTATGTCCTTTGCGTCTTTGTCAGTGTGGTAGATGTTGTAGCTATAATAGTTATATATTACATATTATATATGCTATATATTACAGCTGTAATAGCGTTGGCGTCGGAAGATATGTGATGCCCAGGTGTGGCTGGAACTGAGAAGACGAAACTGTGCATACTAGCTGGGTGATTGCAGACGCTGCCCTGCCACTTGTGGAGATGTGCCGGAAGATTACACGACGTGATGTGCCATTTTGAAAACATGCCGTGGCCTTGAAGATGACTATGTGCCGAGCCATGGCCTTGAAGTTGACCAGCTGATGCGCCGTGGCCCTGACAGTGCACCCCGAGGATTGCACCTGACGGTGAGGCGTGGTGAGCGGCCGTACCCCCTTTTGATGGCCAGGTGCGCCCTTTAATGAGGTACATGGGGAGGAGCCAGCTGCGACGCACGGATCCTGGCCGTTGCCACGAGGCGACGATGACTTCCCTGACGACCTCATGGTCACCACGGTGGCAGTGGCCATTACCATTGGTCACCCTCGGTTGCGAGGGTGGCGCCAGCGTTTACCCTGATGTGGCGTGGTGGCACAGGACTTGGCGTGGTAGGGCAACGGGTCCGGCGGCGACGGGTAGCGAGGTGGGCAACCGTGGGGACTCTTGTTGTAGGCGCTGAGTGGCTTAAGTGTTAGGGCACCGGAACCCAAGCGGTGCTGGCAACCGTTTGTTATGTGGGCGTACGTGTTGGTACAGTGCTTGGTGGGTGACGGTGATAGGGTAACGGAATGTGGTATGTTTGAACCTGCTGAGTACAGGACGCCGTTAGCCGGGCATAGAGTACTAAGGAAACCGGTGATAGTAGATGTGACGGAACTGAGTGCATACATACATAAGTGCATGGAAACATTGCCACAGGGGCTGCGGTGCCGGGGAACTCAGCGGGAAGGTGTGTGTGCGAGGTATTGGCTGCTGGAGGCTCCCTTGTAACGGTACCCTGTCGGGAACCGGAAACACGCTTGGACTGTATATGGATGCACGCTTTCGCTTGTAATGAGCGCTGGTTTTGGGCCCACCCTGGCGTTTCTCTGTGCACATTCGGGGATGGTTACCATGCCGCGCTGAAGTGGTCTATCGAAGGCGCACCTTTGCCATGGAGTCCAGCCAGATTGGTCGATCGTTTGGATTCAGTTGTGACTGGCCCTCGACTGCAAGATTCGTCACCCGAGCACTTTTTACACGGTGGTACAGACCTCAACGCACACCAACACCGTCGCTGGCGCACGGGGCCCTCCCCCCGCTGTCATACAGCCCTCACATGGCGTGCCGACCCTCCACCGTGTGCCTTAGTAAGGCCCCGGCGCGTGGCGATGCCCCACCTTCGGGGCCCGCGCCCGGACACTGGCGACGGGGTTTCGCCTACCGCGCAGCCTTACGGGAGCCACGCCTTCAGCTTCAGGGGCCTGTGAATTGCTAGGCGGTGCGGAACGCGGCCTTGCGGCGACCCGAGCATGGAACCAAGCCGTATATCGCTCCCATCAGTCCTTTGACACATACCAGCTGTCAATCCACTCATGACTCAACCCCGCAGCTGGCCACCCGCCGGACTATTCAAAGCCGTCGCTAATGACAACCAGCCCACCCGGCATTTCATCACCGTCCAATCAATTCTCGGACGAAGCCCAGGCAGCGAAAATGAAGTTTAAGCGAGGCATAGATGTAGTCGACCACGACTCATTATGTCAAACTTCAACAACGAGAAAAAGTATGCGGACTGATGTGAGGCAGACTGTGGAAATATGCGAAAAATTTGTAGAAATGTGTGGAAATATGCAGAAAATGTGTGGAAATGTGCGGAAAAGTGCGGAAAGTGTATGAAAAACTGTTCCCGAGGATTTGGCGACCGGTTTTTCGTCTGCTTGGCGGCCTACCCTCAGCATTGAATGAATGTGAGCGAGTACGTCTCATAATGAAATTACGTTAACGATCATTCCCGTCATTATCCATCTACTGAACGCATAACCTGTGTGGATGTTTATTCAGATGCAGGATAAAGTGGTCGCAACATTTCCCACCTGCTGCGCTGGCAGTTCTTCTCTTTCAACGGGTCTGCCATGCAGAGACCTCTCCAACGCTTCGATGAGACACAAAGCACCAACAATGGTATTGCCCAACATTGGTGTTAGCGTATTGCGAACCAAAGCCCGCGGAAGGCGCATTCTGCTCACGTGGGCAATGATGCAGTAGTGTGTGGCATCGTGCATTGCAACATTTAACATAATAACGTAATGTTATCCAATGCAATGTTGTAAAATATTCGGTTCTCCAATAATGGTAATCATCAGAAAAGATTACTATCCCAATGATACTACTCAACTGGCGACACACGAAGTCCAGAAGTGAGGTAAGAGAGTATCGGCAACCTCAACATCTTCGCTAAATTGATCGTCATTCAACAAGCTGGTGCACAATGGAGCAGAAAGGCCCCAAAATTTTCAATCAGGGGGGTGCATACCTATAGCAGATTTTTGTTGTTCAGATGGACTTAAATTTGGATTTGAAAGCATCAATCGGCTGCACGTAAAGTATGTAATATGACTGCGTCATTTGTATTTCATTGGGAGTAGTTTTTAGAAGGTGTTTGCGTAAGGAAGTGTCAGCAGACGTTGTTTTGACCACAGTTTGGCTGACCTGTGTGCTTTATGAGCAGGACTGCTGTCAGGGGCTGGCCACGTCGCGGTCCGCCATGGGGCACGATGAGGCGGAGCTAGGGGCCGCGCGGAGACGCCTCATGGTTCTGTGCTAGGAATACGACCCACGACGCATTTTGTGGCTGTTGACCGAGTGGCGCGGCGTGTACAGGGTTGAATCGTAGTGATACGGTGGTGTGACGAGAAGATTCCAGGGAATCGAAAGATACTGTCCCACGTAAAGGGGTGTTGTGGGAAATGTCAGACGCCTTGAGGGGTCATAAGTACGGAGGGCGTGGAGAACGCCGGAGGGGACACCGGCAGAAAACGTCATGTCCACGATGCCAGCTGCGATGTCATTTTTATGCAAAATGAGTGCGATGGCATAAAAGCGGCTGTGATGCCATCAATTTGTGTCGAATGGCGTCGCAGTCGGCATCGCAAATAGGCTGTTTCCTACTGGTGGGATGGAGCATTGTTGACTTCAGCATTGCAGCTGCAACAATGACTGCGTGTGGTTTTTCTACGCCTCGCGTGGCGGACCAGGCATGTGGCCTGGCTGCCTGAGTCCCCTGGCTGTGCGCACCACATGTACCATAGCCTGAGCGCAATACCATTCGACCTTCTGGAAGTTCGCGGCCACTCTGGGCCGGTTTTGAGCTTTTTTTCTTGCCGTTCACGACCAACACCTCGGGTGCAGTCTTGCGGCCGGCCAAGGTTGGCCAAACATCGTTGCTGCACAGCCGTGACAAGGCGGAAAGAAGCCCTGCTGCATCATGCCCTGCCGCACTGTGGACGGGGCTGACCTGTCCCATGGACCTATCTGACGTTTGTGACTTCATCGACCCTCGAGGAGCTGCTGCGATTGATCGCGGAGCTCTGGACGGCAGTTGCAGGGCTTTCTACAAGGACGTTTGCGAGCATTGGCTGGTGGTTTGGCGGCGATCGTCATTGTGACAAGCGCCGTTTCGGGAGGAGCCAGTCCGCACAGGGGGGGCATCTTGATCGCTCAGTGCGCTCTCAAAGCACGTTCATTTGAGGCAGTCGACTTGAAACAGCTGCCCATGAGTACGGAGAGGGTTATGCATGGTTTCCATGAAGTTGGTCATTGCTCCATCAACGGGGGTTGGGTGTTGCGACTACAGATATGTGGCCATCTGCGGTTGTCGTGTACTACCGGAGGGCCCCGACCCCATGCATTATCACAGGGAGCCCTTACGTCGTTTCACCTTCCACTGCAACGCACATCCGGAAATTCTACTGGCCATCAAGACCGGTGGAGGTCAACAAGTAATCAATAATAGCATTGCCATGTCGCACGCTGTTATTATGCGCCAATGCACATGACGATAAAACGTATACCTGCAAAGATGCAAGGCATATGGCATCCGCCGCTGCATCCCAGCGCTGTGCCTCCGGTCGAGCTTGCCACTCTCTGCAGCATAGCCTGACAGCTTCTCCATAAAAGAATGAGTGATGTTAAGCAAAAATCACACAACAACAAAGGTTGCCCAAGACTGACTCTCAGGCCGACGAGGTTTTACATCTTACAAATAGGGCAACGATTGCCGCGAAGATGCAAGAGATAATACGAGGACCGTGGGGTGACCCCTCCACTCTCTCTCACCCTTTTCAGGATAGCTGTACACCACGGCACCCCCTATTGGGTAACATGCAAGGCAGCGGTCGCCACGAAGGCACAAGATATAATGCATCCATCCCAGCATTGCTCCTCAGTAGTTTCCCGCCATTTCACAGTGGCGCACCCAAGTCGCTGAGATGTACACAACGGCACCTCTATTGGTTAACATGTAAGGCAGCGGTTGCCACGAAGGCACAAGATGTAATGCGCCCATCTTGGCATTACTCTCCCAGTCGTTTCTCGCCCAGTGCGTGCTGCCCCAAAACGACCCCCAATGCCCATTAAGGCGTAAGGCAACGGGTGCAGCCAACGTGCAATTGAAACGCCCCTCTCCCAGCATTGCCCTCCCCGTTACGTCCCCGGGTACAGCGAAGTCGCAAGCAAAATGCATCCATCCCGCCATTGCTCCTCCCGTAACTGCTGGTCCATCCAATGTTGGCTCAAGAACAGGCCCCCCGGCGCCGTTGACATGCGAGGCAGGGGGTGTAGGGAACACGCAAGACGTGATGCCCTGCCCGGGCATTACACGTCCCCCCTCTCCCGCTTTCACCACGCTCACTTCAAAGCGCCTTCCCAAGAGGCCCAGTCACACTCTATCACCTCTGCGAAGCGGCGCTCGTGATGCCAACCGGCGGCTTATGCGACGCAGTCCGTGACTTGTATGCATGCCCCTCCCGGGGCAGCCAATAACGCAATACCCCAATGAGACACGCACATCCCGTGTTTTCGCCAGCCATATTCCGGCCCCACCTGCCCCGCCGTGCTTTGGCCCCACATAATCCAACCATCCCTGCCCGCCCCGTTGCCAAATCCAGGGCGCCGATCTGGGCCTCGAGAAGCGGCAAGGCTGCCCAAGTGGCGCTTTTGAACGCGCGAGCGGCGTTTTCAGCTGCTGGCCACAGGCCCAGGGCCTGTCGAGTGTGGGCATCCAGGCTGCAATCGGCATCCAAGGCTGAGGACTCCGTGTGGTGGGCCACCCGCTTTTTCCCCCCCACCCCTTCTGCATAGATCGCCAACCGACGGGCGGGCCCTTCCCAAGCAGCGCGTAATTTGAACCGTCGCTTTGAAACGTCGCCAGGGCCTGAAGATGCGTCGCTTGGGCTTGGGCCCCGCGTGGCTTCGCGCCGAGCCCGGGTTCCCCGGGATGGCCAATCCGGTGCCGGGACGCCAATCCGGGTCGCCGGTTCAGGCCGGTGGATCGATCGACGGCCGCACCGCGAGGCATGGGCCAGGAACAGCGATCTCACGCCGCGCTTTACTCCCCTGCGCGTCAGATGCGTGCCTTCGATCCTTCGATCCGGACCGATATTTATTTTCGACATCTGTCTCTCCGGGAGGACCCCGTCCGGATGCGCGCGTGCCCTTTTTATCCGGGCGCGGTCGAGCGCCAAGCGGCGCGGGAGTGGGGCCAGATCGTTCTTTTGAGGCAGTTCGCGATCCGTGCATGGTCAACGGACCTGGTCAGGTGGTCATCATGCTGGTCGACATGCCGGCATGCCGGACCCCATGGCGCCCCTGTCGCCGGTCGGTCGCCCCTAGGGGGCGTGGAGGATCCCTGCTGGCCCGCGAGCTCCCGCACGGAAATTTCCGAACCGGTGCTCTGCGGTCTTGGGCGCCGTTTTGCGCCCGCGCCGTGGGCTGCTGTGAGGGCACGGGCAAAATGGGTCCTGGGGGCATATTCTTGATGTGACGTCCTCACTCTTTACTCGGGGGGGATGTGACTGCTTGTGGACTTTTGCGCAGCACGCGTGGCGTACTTTGGGTGACGGGTGATGCCTGGCGCTCGTATCCTACCCCTAATGTTGTCAGCCCATGGAAGTAATCGTTTGCACATATTTGGCACCCACCCCGCATCCACCCAGGTGACGCAAGCCCTTGCGAGTTCCAAGCCACGCAAGCACGCCCGCCCCGCTGCTGGTATCTATCCCCCCTCCCCGATAAAGGAAAAACAACGACGAAAACAACTTTTGATGAGGTTGATTGGATTCGCATTGATTAGAGGAATCTGGTTGTGGAGCGCCCTTTGTTGCGCGCATGCCCCACCTTGTCAACCGCAGCAAGCAAGCACACTAAAGTGCCGGACCTGGGGCGCCGACGCGCTGCATACCTCATTGCCGCGCGCCTCACACTTTTCGCCCGCAGTGACGGATGGGCCAGGCTGCTGTTCGGCCGTCCGCGCTCAACTCCTTGCGCTGCCAAACTGCGTGGTCGACATGTGCCAATTGCCAGGGCGCTCGCACTTGAATTCTAGGAATTTATCGCATTTGCATTCACTTCGAATACCTCCAAAAAACATTTAAAATTCACATGCAGAACTAAAATGCGAACGTTCAACTTGACGCATGAACAGCAAATGAACGGCAATTTTCGAAACTGTCAATACAATCTGCTGTCACCAGCATCACTATCTGAACTTCGACTTGAAACGTGAACAGAACTTGAACACAAGTTTTGCCTTGCTTGCGCAGAATGAGGAGGCGACACCCGCCGTTCATTAGCAGATCCTTCCGGTCCATCAGGTCCAAATTTCTGATCTTCTGCGGGAAGGACGAGTGCAGGTTCCGCGCCGTCAGGAAGGAAGGGGAAAATGACGCCCCCCCAAGCAAATTCCGAGCTTCGGCGTCGGACAAGCTCATCAGAAATCTTGGCCAGGTTGCCACCCTGGGCGTGGGAGGCGTCATGAGGAAGCCCTTGAAGACGTTTGAGCTGGTGAGTTGTTGAGCGCCAACAGCCTCAAGGAAAATGTGGCCCAAAATTGTATTATTGCACGAATATAATGTACTAAGCCGTGTACCACGAACCCTGTGCCTGGGGAAATGGTAATCGCAGCACTTTGAGGCACTTGCAAATACCAACTTTTCCGTTATAGGTGCGCTGTTCACCACTTCACTGTTGTGCACGGCATCGCCAATCTTGTGAGGGGACTTCTGCTTGGTCATGTAGCGGAGGGTGATATTTGCTCTAATCACAGTCGAATTGAGGACAGGTGGGAGTAGGGAGCACGTTCCCGCAACTGCTTACTTGCCTCTTTGGAAAACCGAAAATAATGTCGTCAAAATTGGAGTGCAGATTGGGCGCTGTCCTGCCTGTGCAACTGGCATTCGATACTTAAGATGTGGCATGTGGTGTGGGTTAATTTCCTGCTACACACCCCCATACAAAGGAGCTTATACTGCGTAACAGACTAACATTCAGCTACATTTACAATAAATTTCCTGACTAGCTTGCAATGCCCATTCACGCAGCTGAAACCAACTCCGTAACTGCCGCAAATTAGTGACAACAAAAAAAGCTAGTGATAGCGAAAGACTGATGCTAGACTAATGAGATTGATGGAAAATAATGAAAACGCAACACGTTCCTGTACATTAATGAAAACGCAACATGTTGCTGTACAGTGATTAAAATGAAGCATTCTCCTGTACAGGTGGGCGTGGACGGCGACACGCTGAACGCCCTGGCGGAGTGGAGCAGCAGGACGTCGACCAACTTTGAGGGGATCATGAAGTTCCTTGAGGCCCGGGGCTACGAGAGGTTTCTCACGGACGCGGACAGGAGCCTGGGGTGGACGAGCGCCGTGGTCGTCATGAGGAAGACGGAGTCCAACATGGGCCGGCTGGAGAAGATGGACGCGTGCTTCCGTCCGCCGCCACCGTATCAGACCGATAATGCGATACCGTATTCCACTGTGCGACGCGAGGCGGCATCTCGTTGACTGTCGCACGCTGGTGTCGGAACGGAATCGGAGCCCTGGAGTTGGGACGGAATTCTCGTGGCGGAACAGAACGGAATGTGCAACGTGTGTCGATCCGGGAGCTTGGGAGGAGTGGGCGCAATCAAAATGCATTGATTGTGAGGATGTTGAGGGAAACGAAACCGATTTGGGACAGATAGGGAAAGAGGGACGTTTGTTCTATGTTCCCGCTGACCCATGCGCAGCAACGGGATGAGCCGTCGACCTGTGAACCCCCACGCGGCCAGCTTGGCTAGAAGGCGGCCCCTAAAATTCAGTGGAGCGCGCTGGGGCGCATGGTATGGCCGGGCACAAACGAAGCGTCGTAAATTGCGACGATCCCAGGAAATGGGCGGACTGATACCCTGGAAAGCTAGAGGTGGGAAACGTTGTTCTGGATTTTGTATTGTGTACATTAACAGGCTGTGGTGATTTCGCGTTTTTGCGATCACTAGCAAAAAATGACCAAGTGGCCCTTTTTGCGATGACATATATATGCATTTCATCAGTGTTCTGCATGCTAAAAGCACTAAAATAACCCAAACTCGTAAACTTTGCACACGTTTGAACACGTGTTGTTTGGTTCTTTTTTTCGTAGTGGATTATGCATTGAATGAAGTGGATGAGATTGATTGACTTTGGTTTGGTTGGATGGAACGCTGACATTGATGTGAATGCATAAATGAGCGCGGTGCGGGCACATGCCCTTCCTTTTAACATATTATAGTGTAAACATGGTTCCATTTTGAACTGGTTCTTTACGTCCGGCTTCCTGCGGCTTCCCGCCCAGGCACGCAGTGCGGCGCAAGTAGATGATATTACATAATACAACAATCCAAACGCAGTGTCCCCGAAGTACTCATTCATTGGAAAGTGTGCCTTGTCCGGTCCCTGTCACCTCGTGACTAAGCGTTCTCCAAAAGATCAAATATCCAGCGCAGCCAATCCCCCCCAGGTGTGGGAGGGAGGGCGAAAACGAAGTGAGGTGTGTGCGCGCGCGCTGCCCCAAACGTCCCACTACCCTGCCAGAAACTACGGGCAGCACGCGTGCCCCAAAACTTTGCATTTCCAATGCATTGTGATCGTCCCATGGGCGACCCCCGCCCTTGCCGGTAGACAGGTACTAAGACCCAACCAGTATTTTTCTCCCGCCCGCCTTCGGGCCTCCCGTAAACTAGCTTACTCCGCAGACTCCGTAACCAACACTTACGTCCGGCTTCCTGCGGCTTCCCGCCCAGGCACGCAGTGCGGCGCAAGTAGATGATATTACATAATACAACAATCCAAACGCAGTGTCCCCGAAGTACTCATTCAATGGAAAGTGTGCCAAGCTCCAAAAGATGACCCGCCCCAGCTTCAGGGCCCTGCGGACGGGCCGGGCTGGGGCGGGGGAGAACCAGAGGGTGCAGCAGGGAGCGCAGCCTCCGGTAGAGGCCCGAGAGCCGGTGGAGATGAGGAGGGGGAGCCGCGGAAGACATCTTGGATCGCGGCGCGGAGGTGGTCGGCGGGCGCCACCATCCACCCGAACAGGCGGAAGTCGAATTCGGTGGGTGTCCGCTGACGGTCGATGTAGCGCCAAAGGGCCTTGGATTCAGGCGCCCACCCGCCCCAATCGCGTATCCGGTTCTCAGGGACGAGAATCGAGAAGGCGGATGAAGCGCCTGTCCGCCGGGTACTGTGGTGGGTGAGATTGGGGGTGGGGAGATGTGCCGAGGCAGAGCCGAACCAGCCCCGAACAGCCGCGGCGGTGGGAGGCCGCCGATCGGCCGGTAACTGCAGGAGGTGTAGAGGCCCAGCTCCCGGGCGGCGGGCCCACTGCGAAGCGCGGAGATCCCGGAAATGGCGGATCAGGGCAGGGAGCTCGGGCACCCCGCGGGTGTCAAATTCGCGGAGGCGCCACTGTAATTCCCTGGTTGCCTTGGTCTTGAACCGGCGTTCACGAAAAACGAGGAGATGGCCCGTCACGTAGAGGTCCTCGTTATATATCTCGTGGGCCGAATCGGCGCGTAGGAAGAAGATGGTGTCGAGGACTGCCGATAGGAATGGGCACACGGTAGTCGCGGTGGAGGCTTGGAGTCCGAGGTGAATAAGACGAAACACCCCAGAGGCCGGAAAGGCCTGAATGGAGTCCCGGTACTCCTCCCCCGGGGCGTGCTGGCGCCATGCGTCGCGAAGCCGGGCGGTGATCGAATCATGGGCGTGGAAATGGCGAAGGCCCACCCAGCGGTGGACCGTAGAAATAGCCGAGACATATTGGTCAAGGCTGCGCACGGCCACCCGGCCTTCCGCCCGGAGGAAAAGAACATAGGCGTATATCTGTTCCGGGGCGGCGGGGATCGCGCGCCAGCCACGCCGGGCGCACATACCGGCAAACTTCAGGAATTTGTGCCAAATGCTCCGACGTCCCGACTCCGCGTTGGCGTCCACTTGGTCGCGAATGATCGCCCAGCGTTCCTCCGGGGTAAGGCGCAACAGGTTGCCGAACTGAGAAGCCGTAGTATCCACGATCGGCAGGAGGTGGCGCAAAATTTCGGACGTGGTCTGGCTGGCTACTGGAAGGCAGGTGGCGGGCAAGGGGGGTAGGCCGAAGGGGTGAGGCGCGGTAGAATCCGTAGGGCCATCACGTGCCAGTGAGCCGCTTGCACAAAGGTACCCCCCAAATGCCCGGCGCGAAAAAAGTCCCTCCGCGGTGGGTAGACGATCCGATCGGAGGCCAGGGCTGTCAAACGCCGGTACCAGGGCGCAGCCGGCCACATTGGGGCCAGCACCACCGCCTCCGCCCGAGGATGAGCCTCCAGAAAGGCAGTTAGACGGGGAAGCTGGGAGAAGGGGGGGTTGCACCAGCTCCGCTCCCACTCCCAGTCCCGCTGAGCAAATGCATCGATCCCCCCGTTCATCGGGCACCACCATCGAGAGTTGAAGCGGGGAACCATTCGGTTCTCCGTGGTGGCAAAACGGTCCACTGTGAAGGGGCCCCAACGCCGCTGGAGGGCTGCAAACACTCCCCGGTCGATCGCCCAGTCCTCGGAATCTTTTTCGCGGGACAGGGCATCGGCCAGACGGTTCTCGTTGGTCGGGAGCCAAATGGGGGCCACGCTTAGAGAGAGCGAGTCGATCAGATACATGACTTTGCGGAGTGCGTCCATGAGTGTGCTCGAGGGGGTCGTCCTCTTCGTCAGAACTGCTTTTACCACCTGACTGTCCGTGTAGAGGTTGACCCTGCGACCCCGAAGACGTTCCCCGAAGGAGTGGAGAGCGCACTCCACGGCCCCCATCTCCTTCAGGTTGATGTGACTGCGGCGATCTAACAGGCTCCAAAACCCGCGGGCCAGAATGGGGCCCTCCGCAGCCAGATCGAGCGTGGCCCCCCACCCGTAATCCGAGGCATCGGTGTGGAGAACTGCCGATGCCGGTGGGTGCCACAGGGTGGCCGTCGTGTTGGTGGGCCCCAGGGCCTTCCAGAACTGGAGGTCCCGGAGGCTTTGACGGGAGAGGCGCACCCGGCTGCGCCAATTCCCGCGCGAAGCCAGGTCGTTGAACAGGCTCCGAAGATAGAACCGGGCCGCCGGAATCGGGAGGCTGAGGGATTGCGCCCGGCCGCAAAAGGCTGCAAGCTCCCGCGCCTTGATCGTCCGGGCGCTTGACGGGGCCCGGAGCAGAAAGTTCGACGCGTCCTGTCGAATGTTTTTGACTTTGGCCGGAGGGGCGAGGACCAACCCCTTGGCCGTGTCCAGGATCACCCCCAGGTGGGGGTAGACTTGTGTTGGAGTCCAGGTGCACTTGGACTCCTTGAGAGTGATGTTCAATTGGTCCAGAACTGCCCGGGTTAGCGTCCCCCATTGGTGTGTCTGCGACCGCGTGAGCATCCCCCCGGCAAAGTCGTCCAGATAGGGACTCAAAACTGGGGCCGGGTTGGCATCCCAGTAGGCCCCCAAGGCCCCCTTCGGGCGGCGGGGGGCCGCAGCCTGGGGGGCTCGCAGGAATGCGACCAATGGCCGCATTGTCTTGGTGAACGCCGGAGGAGAATTCCTCCAGCCGAAGCACAGGCTCGGGCATTCGAACACTTCCCCGTTGATCTGAAACTGGAAGAAGCGCACGCTGCGCTCCTCGACGCGAAGATGGTGGAAAGCGTCGCGCACGTCCCACCCCACTAGATGCTGTCCCGGCTGAATCTGCGGTAAGAAGGTGTGCAGCGTCTCGTAGCGCGTGTGCCAGGCCGCGCAGTGCTGATTGACGTGCCGAAGATCGACGACGAGTCGGCAGCCCCCGTCCTTCTTGGGAATAAGGAATGCGCGGGACACAAAGCGAGGGTCCCTGGCTGGACGGATGGCCCCTGTGGCCAGGTAATGGCGGCGAAGCTCTGTCCAGGCCATGAGCTGGGCCCCCTCCACGCGGCAATTCCCGTGGTGAAAGGGGGCTGGAGGTCCCGCCAGCCAGTGGACAGGGACGCCCTGGTGGATCCAGCGGAGCACCTCCGTCGAGGCGCCGATCTGTCTCCAAGCGCCGATGGCGCGGGCCATTCTGTTGGCCAGAAATTCGCGGGGATTGATCCCCAGTGCAGTGTAGATTGCCCGTTCCCGTTGGCGCGCCTGATCGTAGGCCATCGTCGGGCACCCGGGCTGTGCTGGGCCTGTCCGAAGGCCCATTGTCGTGGACGGCGAGTTGCTTCAAGGCACTCGCAATGTCCCTGAGCTCCTTCTTGGAGCTCATGCAGCGTCGGCAAACGGGTTGCCGGAGGTAGACCCCGACGTCCCCTGATCGCTTTGACTTCCACGGCCGCTCTGATAAGATCGACGGCCCCCTCCCCGGTTACGGCCTCCGCCACCCCGCCGGTGACCTGCCGAGTTTCCTTGGCTGAAAGAATGGGCGCTGCGGGTCTGTTGCTGGCCCCGCTCGCGGGAGTCTGCCTGGGCGCGAAAAGAGGATTTTTGAATCTGCTCCCGAAGCTTGTCGGTTGTGTCGCGTACAAGCTTGGGGGTGTA